GAACCAAATCCTGATAAGTGAGTATGTACCCAAACACAACTACAGGAACCAGGATAATGGAAAGGAGGTAAAGGAAAAGAACCTGAAAGATAAGAACAGTAGGAAACAGGTGTTAATAAGGGAGATATGGATAAAAATTGGGTTAGTTTAAGAGATGGGGGAGGGAAGGGTATAAAAGGAACCTAGAGGATAAAGGGAAAGAAGGAGCTCAAGAGAGGTAGGATCATAGGTGAGGGATATTATTAAGGGGGAAAGGGGGAAATTGGGGCACCTTAATTGGGGAAACCATGATGGAGGGGTTAGACAATGTGAGAGATAAATAACGCCTAGCTACTTTTAAAAACCAGAGGGAACCATATTAGTCCAAAAACCTACTGACAAATTATACATACCAGACCAAAAAATACATGTCTAGGTAAGGTTTATCTAAGAACAATTGGTCTTTGCCCAAGATTTATCTACATGGTACACAGTAATTAAAAGTACCAGACTGGTGGAACTAACCTTCTTAGATGTTTAACAGACCTACTTTGAGTCCTAATCTAATTTGGTCAGAGGGACATAAAGGCCAGTTTTTGCTCCTTGCCCTCCAAGGGCGAATAATTCCCAGGGACTATGAGGAGCACCTCCCAAAATGTCCTGTAATTGTGGTAGGTTGCCTGTCCTCTTGATCAAGGAGGCCAAGGAGACCCCACGAGAAGGACTTGAACCAGTGTCCAGTCTACAAAGAGGAGGGTCAACACAGAGGAATCATTTCCTCCATGCTTCTAAGTGAATCCAGCCATGGTCGAGCAGGACCTTTTACTTATCTTCACATAGGCGGAACTGGTAAAAGAAAGGAGCCAGGGGCTCCTCCCAAGCCCATGTGACCCCTGAAAAGCAAATCCTCAAATGGCCTTAATAGTAAAAATAAATTGGTTTATCTGGGTCAACCGTATGGCCTTAAACACCCAGAAGGAAGGTATAACAAAAGATTAAGGGGGCCAATATAATTTTTAAGAGTCCGTATGTATAGCTAAATGCTACATAACAAGCAACAATGCCAGATAGGAGATACCTTCTTTTGAGTTGTTGGCCAGGGTGGCCCAAGAGACTCCCAAGATAGTAACCCAGTATAGAACTGGGAAAATGAACAGCAGACCCCAATCTTATCTAAAGGAATATTGACAACTGATTTCTGCTAGATGAGGAACAACTGACCTTCCTAAAACAAAGACCTCTATATAGGCTGACTAGATTCACCAAATGGACAAGTAGTGGGGAATGGCTAGGGGTGCCAACCAGACAGTGGACAGTAGCAGGGATAACAGAGTATAAGGGCTGAAGTGGGGGGAGGGAGGCTATGGGGGTTGCCATCTTGGAAGTGGGTGTATAGTTCAATAAGATGGTTTGGGATGTTCTGAGTGATATACACACACAAAAAAATCAACACGTTTAAAAATGTATTATATTTGAGGAGGAAGCATAAAAATTTACGTCATGTTAATTAGTAGAGGTGAGAAACATTACCATTGAAATCTACCTGATGACTTTATAGACATACACAGGCGCCAAGAATCTGGGTGCAACATATTATGACTAGTAAAAATCAGATACACACAGATTAGACACATGCGCCAACATGTCAGTGTTAGTAGCAAAAACAATGAGTCTTTCTGTAAAAACAGTATATGGAGATCTTTTTTAAAGGTTATAAACTCATTCAATTTTATGTCTTACTGGGATTATACTGAGTTCAATATTGTATAATGGTATTAATTCAACAGCAAACCTAAAAATTTTATAGCCACTTTTGAAAGAACTGTATCTTTGCTCTGGAAACTGTTATTTAGCATATTACAGCTTTCATGACACGCATCTTCTAAAAAAATAATATTTTTAAAATGTAGGAAATAGCATATTTTTAACTGAAATGGAGATCTTCTTTAAAGGGTAAAATCTCACTCAATTTACCAGCACAGGGAGGGTTGCCTGTGCTGTTTTTAAACACAGAGCCCCTGGGAGCAGAGGACACATTCTAGTTCCAAGCTGCTGAAGACAGGCTCCACCCAGCCGCCTTGCAGCAGCAGCCTACTCCTGGCTCTACAAAGGCCTGTCCCAAGGGGAGTTGTGGGTTGAGGAGAGTTTCAGACAGTAAGGAGGAAGATCAGTCCAGGTCTGAACTTGAACAAAGATTAATGCTGACAGCACAGTTATGAGACTGTCAGAATTGAGAAAGACAGCTAAGACACTTCAGGCCAGATCCAAACTCTGCAGGACAAAGGACATGCAAGGTGGGATGAACTTTACAAAATCACAGAGGGCAGAATTGGTCTTTGAGGAGTTGCTAGTCTTTTGTTTAAGAGTTTGGTAAATATCTTGGTAGAGAAGTGGATGAAACCCAGGGTTCTCACAGCAGGAGCAGGTCATCTCTTCCCCCCAAACTGGCCCTGATCAGGAATATCTGACTGCTTAGTCACCTCACCTACTAGCCTGCCAGCTTGCCAACCTGCCAGTCCATCCTTCCTAGTACAATATTGTCTAACTGTAATAATTCAACTGTAAACCTAAAAATTTACTGCCAAGTTTGAAAGAGATGCATCTTAGCTCTGGAAATTGTTACTGAATATGTCAATGCTGTTGTAATGAAATACTTCTAATTATGTGGTTATTAAGGAACTAATTTTCATAAAGCAATATATATACATATATATATATATATATATAGTGGTCAATTTGCAAAAAAAAAATATTGGTAAGTGATAAAAGGTAATGTCCTGCTTGACACAAACTAGAGTCACCAGCAAAGAGAAAAACTCAACTGAGGTGTTTCCTTCATTAGACTGGTATGTGACCAAGTCTGTGAGGCATCTTCTTAATTGCCTGTGGCATTACTATGCCACATTACAAATATACCTGAATAAAAAGCCTGTCTCTTTACTTTTTAAGAGTGGGCCTGAACTTGTAGAGCACTGACTTCACCAGATGGCTCCGAGAACTGTACTGCTGAGTCAGGCCTCACCCGCTACTTTTATTCAAAACCGTTTCTCCAGCATCAATTTTGAGGAGCTCCAAGCTTGGATCCACCCTTCTCTTATCAGCCAGTCTTACCTTTACTTCCACACAATGTCAAGCATTCTTCTCAAACGTCATTGTTTTCAGTGAGGATTCCCTGCCTTTCAGTACCTTGATTTGTTAGTTCTCAAGCATACCCACATTTAGTATCTTTGGACAGAAATCAAACTGAGGTTTTGAGGAATCAAGGTCAGGGGCCCAACTCACAAGAACACATGACTAAATGAGCTTGTTTCCTGTGGCTTTTTGGTTGTAAAGTTAATTAAAAATCCTTAATGTAGATATGTCCACTTAATAAAAGTCATTCCTACAATTGCTAATTAATGTAGGAGAATCTTGCCCACTTTGTGAAGTGCTATCCTCATGCACATGGGCCTGGATTTCAAAAGACAAATAGTTGAGCAAGTCAGGGGAAGCAAGCCAGCAAGCAGCATTTCTTTGTAGGCTCTACTTCAGTTCCTGCCTCAAGATCCTTGCCTTGGATCACTGACTTGATTTCCCTTCATGATGAACTGTGACCTGGGAGTTGTAAGATGAAATAAACCCTTTTCTCCCCAAGATATTTTGGACAGAAAGCAAACCAAAACAAAAATTGGTATCAAAGTGAGGGATCTTGCTGTTGTGGACCTAACCATGCTGTTTTGGGGGAAGACTGGGAAGGATTTGGAACACTGGAATGGAAAAGCCATTGATTGCTCAGAGTTTAATTGATGTTCTGTGGAAGCCTGGTAGAAAAGAATGGTGAAAGAAGTGTAAATGATGGAGGCCTTGTTTGTGAAGTTTCTGAGGGAGTTTGATAATCCTTGAAGGACTCTATCATGGCTGTTTGATATGTTAGATTTAGGATCTGTGGAAATAAAATCTTAGCTTTACTGAGACAGTGGATTCTGTTTGGCTGGAGCTAAAATTCAGCTGTGATTAATAAATACCAGCACTCTGGAGGCAAAATATTCAGAGGCGTATTACTTAGGGCCAGAACACAGAAGGTGTGGTCCAATATTCCTTCTTTTGTGCCCTCCGTTATATATTGCTACTGTTAAAAAATGATCAGAACTACCTCTGATATCCATGGACATAACTTATGCAGAAAATGTGTAAGTAGAGTCACATTGCAAAGAGAAAAACCAAAAGAAAACTTTAAATAAACTTGTGAACTTGGGTTTTAATATTTTATTTATCAGATTTGCCAGTAATAATGTACTGTTAATAAGGAAGCAATAAAAGTTGATTTTTCATTACATTGACATATACTACGAACCAGTGGAGATAACCATAGAAACATTTAAACTCTGAGTGGCTTGAGTTGGGAACCTTTAGATGTCTTTTCATTCTGGCCACCTGCAAAAATATCTAAAAAATTCCTTGGTTGATGTATATGAAATAAAGAACTGATCCAATGTATGAAAGGATGGAGCAATTTATAGTTGAAGACCATCAATGGCTACTGGGCAGAGACATTTTTCTCCACACTTAAATCCAGATGGACCACATAAGTAATTGAAGATAGTCTAAATATGAGAAACTTTATAGAATTTAGACCATAAACCTATGGACTTCAATAACCACTGCCAGCATTCAAAAATACATCCAAAGTCTTTAGATTGTCTGCATTTGATTTTGATATACACAGGTAAATAAATTTGTGTGTACAGTGGTATGTGGTATACCATGAAGAGGTCAATCCACACTACATAGCCAGCACTGTAGAGTCAGTAAGACAAAGTATATCAGGAAAAATAGACAAGAGACACAGATGAGCTCTCAAAGTCCTCCATTTTCTTCTTAGAGTTATTCTTTTATAGAGATCATTTGACATGCCCATACTTTCTAAATATAGTTTCCTACAATATAACAAACTTACATGTGGTGTTTATGGGCTCCCATTCAAAACAGTGATTACATAAAGGTTCAAATATCAGGTTGAAATTGTTTGTCTGTAAAATTTACTAAAAGTAAGTGATCAAGTTCAAGTCACTCCTCCCGGCCACCTCTAGTATCATCGTCAGTTGGTCATGTACTTCAGCAAGCTTCTGTAGGTCTAAAATGTCCTGGAATTGCCATCTTTCATAGCAGTGCACAGGGATAGGATAAATCACATATCTCAACTTCATTAAGGGTAGTAAGTGCTCAAGAATTCTTATGAGCATAGGCATTGTAATGAAATTAGAGAAAAAGCTAAATATGCAGAGTTGGGAACAGTGGCTTAGTGCTGGGAGGAGAAGAGAGATGGTAGAATCTGTTATATGGCAGAGATTTATCATTAGATATTTCATGGTACCCGAGACTTTTTGCAGGAGATTGTGAAGTGGCTCACAATCTTCCCAATCCACTGGATTGTTACTAAGATTCAAAAGTTTTAGATTGTTGACCTGAGGGCACTGGGCCAGAAATTTGAAATCATTGTGAGACAATCCACAGAGATTAAGATTCAAAAATTCCAAACCAGGTACTATGGCTCTGTAAGGAGAAAACAGAAAACATTTCTGAAGACTGAAGACTGGATGAGGGAAACTAAACCTATGAATCTAGAATGAACTATTTCGAACATGGATTTTGCAGCAGCTAACAATGTGGACTTACAGTCACTTAATGTATACTCTGGAATAAATCCATTTCTACTCTGAAAAAACATAACGTTAATCTTGAGAATGGCCATGATATATTATTATAAGGATTTTGTGAAAGAATTAGTGAAAAATATTAGTCTATATAGTAATTACAACATAATCAACAGTGGAGCTTGTTCACCTATTCAGTGGAGGTAGGACACAGGGAGCAACCAACTTTCTCAAAGTTCTCTTAGTCCAGTCTCTAAATGATAGCCTCTACTTCCATGGCCTAAATCTTGGGGATAATAAATTAGCAAAATGATCTGACATTATCAACTATGGGCGTCTGGCTATGAATGCTACAGCACAAGATTTTGCTCCACCTCAATTCTTCCACTTCATCTCTAGAAGGCTGGAGAAAGATTGCATGTTCTTTTCACCCTTATGTTGCTGGAATAAGCATAATATCTGCACATGGTTGACTAACTAGCTTGTCTTTTGCCACCCTTTATTTCTGTTCAATAAGTGAAAGACACTCTTCCCTGGCTAATTTTTCACTCCCAGCATTGCCTATGCTGAGGTAGCTGGAGAAAGGGTTTATGTGGAGCTTAAAAATATCCAAGAATATTTTCTCTATCTTAAAAGCAGTATGGATGTTCACTGAAACCCGTGTATGTACTCTAAACCCTTACCTCATAAGATTTTCAAGGTGATCTGTGAGGCAGAAAGAAGACAAGTTGAGCTCCTTTATGTACACCATATGCTTCAGGTGAGTGATAAAGTTTTTAAAGACTCTCCCATTCAAAGATCTACAAGTGATTTGAGACAGACTAAGTGTGTCCAAGCAGGCCACCCGAGACAAAAGGCGGGTTACTTCAGTGAGAGAAGCCCGGTGAACTGCTAGGTGATTGATGCATTTCATATCCAGGATTTTCAAAGCGATTTTGCAGTCACAAAATGTATCAATTTGCAAACTTCGGCAGCACAGATGTAAGGAGCCTAAACTCTGCTCTACTTTACTCAGGAGTGAAGTCAAAAAATCATTTTCTCTAAAGGTACTATCGAAGGAAAGGTTCACTAGTAATTCCATAGGCTTCTTGGCAGACTGATCCTCAGATTCTGAATTTGCAATAGTATACTGGGCTTCTCTTTTCAGAATAGAATGTTCAGAATATGTACAAGCATGAAAACAGACCAATGAATTTGTACTCCTTTGGGGGCATACTATCTTGTAGCCAGGGTTCTCTCTCAAATCTAGGATCCTCAGTTTAGGACCCCTATAGGGACAAAGAGAATACAGAAAATCTAAGAGGCAGCAAATATTAATGGAAATCATCAGGATCATTGATAACATGCAAGAATGAAAGCCTTCTTTGTACTTCAGTCCATATACCAACAGCTAGCAAACATTTCCTACGCAAATAGATCATGTTTAATAAATTTTTCTCTCCTCCAATTCCCACAGTCTTATTTCAAGATTACTATATGTAATATATCAATAGTATGTATACTCCTCAATAGTGTCCTTACCATTTTTATAAGAAATTCCCCTAAAAGACACCAAAGTCTTTATGATTATGTCAATTTTTAGACATATCACCTCACAGCTATTTCAGTATTCACCATTATCTAACCCTGACAGATAATATGTTCTCCTCTTGTTATGTTACCATGTAATTAATAAATATCATCTTAATGGAAAATAGTCCTCGGGGCAGGAATGAACCAAAGAACATCAATCATGGCATTCAAGAGTTCATTGTCAGCTAGGTGTATTGCATGCCTTTATACCCAGCTCTCAGGAGGTAGATGCAGACAGATCTCTGTGAGACTGGGGCCAGCCAGGTCTACATGGAATATTCTTTGCCAACTGAGGTTACAGGGAGACACTGACAAAAGAAAAGTTCATTTTGTGTCTCATGTATGCTATTCCAATGTTCAGCATGTTAACCACTCAAGTCTTTCTTCTGTGTATTAGCACACATTATCTAAATCCCCCAATAATATACTCAGTCATTTGCATTCTGTATCCAATCCTGTAATACACCTGTTTTTAAAGTGACACCTTGGGGGCTGGAGAGAAGGCTCAACAGTTAAGTACAGTGGATGCTCTTCTAGAGGTCCCGGTTTGGTTCCCAGTACTCACATGGCAACTAACAACCGTTTGTAATGCCAATTCCAGGGATCTGTCTGTAACGCCAAATCCAGAAGATCTGACACCTTCTGGCCTCTGCAGGTGCTTGGATAACATGCACACAAAACACTCATACACATAAAGTAAAAATAAATAAAATATTTTAAAAATACTTAAAAAATTAAGTGACACCAAGTGTTGGGCCAGCAGCTTCACATTACATTTCAGCATTTACCTTAACTATCTCATAAAGATCAGCAAACTGTAGCATAAAGTCCTACTGTCTTAGCATATCTCTGTTATACACAGCCTTACCAAGAACCTAAGTTCTGTGTAGGAAGGATCTGAAGACTCTCAACAATGGCTTTCACGAGTTCATATTGTGTATCCTGTATCATTAATGACCCCATATGAAGACAGGGAAAAGGCCAAATCTTCACCATTGCTGTGAGGATATTCTTATGCCCACCCACGAAGGCAGCATTAAACAATGGAACAAACAGCGCTCTTGGGATCGCCTCCAAAGCATGCATTGTTACAGGCTCATTACTCAGTAGACTCTGTATAGTAAGATCTATCAGAGTTGGGTCCATGGGGTCCATCTTGATGAACCTGCAACAGGGTGAAAATATTTAGAAATCCTGATAAATACCAACTGTCTCTTTGCGACAAGTACCAGCTATTTGGAAAATATTTATAGAAAAAAAAAACATATGGAGCATCAGGCAGCCACCTCTAGAGACCTCTATTTTAGGCACAAGTTATAAATTGGCTCATGAGTACATAAACGTCTGTTTTCATACATTCATATGCCATTAACTCCCATACACATGTATGTGTATATGACAAAATGCTATTCAAAATAAGCAGTAAGTTAGGAGAGAAGAATTTTGGTCACTTAGCTCCCTTACTCCCAATATTTCCTCTCAATAGAAGAGAAGCTGTCAAAACCAAAAAGATAAAGTCAGGCATGGTGGCACACTTTTAATCCCAACACTTGGGGTGCAGAGGCAGGTGAATCTCTGTGAGATTGAGGCCAGTCTCATCTACATAGTGACTTCCAGGATGGCTGTGGTGACAGGGAGACTGTGTCTCAAACAAACAAATACAAACAAACAGCAACAAAAACCCTAAAAGGTAAATATACACAAAAGTTATACTGTAACCATTATCTTGGAAATAAACAATATTAAGGCATCTAATTAATTGTGATTAAAGAGAGAAAGAATGACATTCCATCCTATGATTTGTTAAACTTCCAACACCATATTTTTGGCAGATACAGAGGAAAACTTCAAGTGCAGCACATGAAGGAAGATGGTTAAGGACTTTAAATTAACCTAAGCTTACAGTTAGAAAGAGCAAAACTCTTACCAAAAGGGGATTGGATAGTCTTCAGAAGTCTGAGGATTGATTTCACAAACTGGTATAAATACCAGCAAGGAATCTTCATCAATTTCTAGGTCTTGCCACTTACAAAGTCCGCATGGTCCTGGGTATCTATGTAAATAATCAGATGGTATAATTTTTAAAAAATCAGTTTTGAATGTGCCTGATAAAGTTTGCCAAGTGCTCCAAATTCCATTTTAACAGTCCCAGTGCTATTGCAAATTGACGTATTTCTGATAAGCTCAAAATTAGAAAGATGTCAGTTCTCCAAAACTTAATGTACACATTTAATTGTATTTCAAATGTTTCTGCAATCAGTATATGGAGTTAGATAATCTGATGATAAAGTTCACATACAAAATTATATGCAATAAACTTAAAAATAAGTGAAAAGGAAAACATGAGGAGAAACTTAGGCAAGAGATCATATGATAAGACTTCAGTAATTACAGCATCATGTTACTTGTGCAAGAGTAGAGAAATAGGAAAGAAGGTATGAGTCACAACTGGCTGTAAATACAGCTCCAGAAATTCTGAATTCTTCTGGCCTCTGAGAGCACATGTGTGCACTCTCGTGGGCATGCACAGACACACAAACACACACATAATTTAAAAATAATAAAATTACTCTTTAAAAGAATAGAGAAATATCCCATGAATAGTGTAGAGGACCTAGAAACAGAAGTCAATACAAGGAACTTGATAGATAGTAAAGGTGGCATGGAGAAGTGCTAGAGAATGATAGCCATTAATAGATGACACTAAAGCTGACGCACTTAGAAGAAAACTTGAAGTAGATTCATGAATGATGCCATCTAAAGAATAACTGAATATGTGCTCAAAATCTAAACAAAAAGTTAAACCATGTAACTTCTTTAAAAATAAGGCAGCTCCCCTTAAACCTCATCATACATACAGGCTTTCTAAATAGCACTCAAATTCTAAAGGCAATGGATACAGCAATAATCAATATGGCTTCATGAAAATAAAAGGTCATCAAAATACAAACCATAATTTAATCAAAAGGTAACTGACAAACGTCAATGACTTATTTGTAGACTATATCTCAGACAATTATGTATTAACCTAATTACATGCAGCACTCTACATGTGAAGGAAAATGGACCTTTATATTTCATATAAAAATGGGAAAATGATGTGGGCAGATTGTTCAGGGAGTGACAAGCTGCTAGTAAGGATGAAGAACTGAGTTTACACTCTCAGCACCAACATAAAATCATGGCATGGTAGTATGCATCTGGAACCTCAGGTGGGGTGGGGGACAGATGGATACAGAGGGATCGCTGGTCAGGCAGCCTACCCAAAACAGAGAAATGCAGATTCAATGAAGAAGTCTGTCTCAAATAATGAAGTAGAGGGTGACTGAGGAAGACATCTCAATATCCCCTCTGAAGTGCAGCATGCAAAAACAAGTGATTGCAACTGAACACACATGTTGCATTCACACACATTATAACATACAAAAATGGAGAAAACATACAAATTAATAATTTATACAAAAATGTATTGAAAAGTCACAAAATACTCATGCATGCCGAAATACAGTGGCAAGTAAATATCTGTAAGCTAAAGAAACACTGTGTTTCTTTAGCTCAGTCTCTGGCAGCATATAGGCAAAATTATAAAGTCAACACGTTCTTGTAGTGAGTCTCTGAGAAAATACTCTCTATGTATAATGATCTTAGAAATGAAAACAAAAACCCCTCATGGAAAAATTTGGAAGTGCCTAACAAAGCTACACATACTCTTAAGCCCAATAATCTTAACACTGGGAATATTCTATGAAAATCTATTTCCCCAAATAAAATATGTATAACCCAGTGATATTCACTGAAACACTATTTATAATTTAAAACTGTTAGACACAGTTTTAAGAAACAACACATAATTAAATGGCTAAAGAATGATATGGCACAGCCAATATAAATACTAGTCAGATTCAAGTGTGAAATAAGCAATGAAAATCTTTTAAGAAATTATAGGGGGGGCTGGAGAGATGACTCAGTGGTTAAGAACACTGGCTGTTCTTGCAGAAGACATGGGTTTGAATCCCAGCACCCACATGGCAGCTAACAACTGTTTGTAACTCCAGTTCCAGGGGATCTCACAGCCTCTTCTGTCCTCCGCGGGTGTTGGACGACATGGGTGCACTTACCTACATGCAGGCAATACACACATACATATAAAAGAAAAATAATAAATAAAATATTTTTAAAAAGAAATTATATGGAACTGTTTCTGTGAATAACGCTAAATTAAAGAACAGAAAATAGAAAGAAATACATGTAATAATATAACTTTCATATAATAAGGTAATCTATGAGAACATGGTACCTTTGCTTTGTTTGAAATTAACACAGGAGTGATAAGAGCAGAAACTGAAGAGACAGGTTCTCCATACAGTGAAAGATGGGAAAGAAATGGGAAATGAGAACAGGGTAGAAGAGAGGATGAGAGAAAGACACTTCTCAACATACACAAGTTTATAGCTAAGTTTCTCTGAATAATAGTAATGTTTCACATATCCGAAATACAATTGGATTTCTGTATTTATAGTCTTGCACATTCTGAGAATTTCACCTGTGTATCAGGTATCTTATATTTAGCCACCCCAAAACATATTGGTGAGCATGTTTCCCACAACAAGCAAGAAGGAGAGAAGACAGTAAAATGGGAAATTCTGCCCAGATGCATAATTTCAGTCCAGCCCTAAGAAGGCATGAAATTCCAGGGTAAAGTGGCAGATTAGAAGCTGTGTCTGCCACATGGTAAACAGGAAGTGTAGGAGTAAAATCCAAGTGAGGTGTAATAGGTCTGCATTACCAGTAATTAAGAAGTAGAGGCAGATGCTAGGCATGGTGGTATGTACCTTTAATCCCAGCCCTTGGGAGGCAAAGACAGAAGGATACCTGTGAGACTGAGGCCTGCCTGGTCCACATAGTGACTTCCAGGCATGCTGGGACTTGGGAGACTCTGTCAAAAAAAAAAAAACAAGAGGTAGAGGCAGGAGGATCATGTGTTCAAGTTAGTTCAAGTTCTCCTCGGGTACATAGTAAGATCAAGGTAAATAAAGGCTATATGAGACACCGTCTCAAAAAAAAACCAAAACCAGGACAGACAAGACTGTTCCACAGATAAGGCCAAATACTGGGCAAATATGACAACCTGAGTTTGATACCAAGATCCCACGGTGGGAGGAGATAAATGAAACCCAGGAGTTGCCCTGTGACCTCCATAAGACATATATGGCACACACCCACCTACACACAAGCACACATCATAAAAACAATAACTTGAGGTCTCCATGTCCTCCCTGAATGAGAGGACAGATGACTAACCAGAGTTACAGGACATTTTGAGAGATGCTCCATAGTCCCCTGGAACTTAGTCAACCATGGAGGGGAAAGAGCAAAAACTGTCCTTCAAGTTCCTCTGACCAGATTAGTATAGGCCTCAAAGTATGACTGCTAAACATCCAAGAAGGTTAGTTCCACCAGTCTGGTACTTTTAATTACCATGTGCTATGTAGAAAAAGCGTGGGCAAAAACCAAACATTCTCAGATCTTGAACCAGTGCCCAGTCTTCAAAGAGGAGAGTCAACACAGAGGAAACATTTCCTCCATGTTTCCAAGTGAAGCCCGCCATGGCTGAGCAGGACCTTTGACTTATCCTCACATAGATGGAACTGGTAAAAGAAAGGAGCGAGGGGTTCCTCCCAAGCCCATGTGACCCCTGAGGAACAGATCCTCAAATTACCTTAAGATAAATATAAATTGGTTTATTTGGGCCAAGTGAACGGTCTTAAACACCCAAAAAGGAAAGTATAACCAAATATTAAAGTGATCAGTATATTTCTTTTTTATTTTATTTATTATTTTTATTTTTTATGTGTATGAGTGAATATTTCTTTAAGAGTTGAAGGTATTACACTCCCCAGACATTAGACTTAAGTCCATAGAAAATGCTATTTAGACAATTATTTCTCATTGATGATTTTGTTTCTAATCACAGAGTGCTGCTCACATGTAAGACTTCAACACCTGTTCACCAACACTTTAGTGCCCATCTGTAGCTAAGGTAGATGACCCACTATTGTTCTAAAATGATGACTAAATTTATTTTCTCCCCCTATCTATAAGCCTTTGTGAGGGAACCGGCACTGATTCTAGCCACTCCAACAGCTATCAAAGTGCCT